AAATAAGTCTCAAGTCCAAAGTCCAACAGAGCGACACACTACGCTCGCTCGGAATAACTGGCATTCTGGAATTGAATTTTTGATTTGCACACAAAGTTTCAACTCATAAGAAGTACGAAAAAAAAATTGAGCTTTTCCACTTCGTAAAGTACGAACTGCTGCTTATGCAGTCATCATAAACTTTGTTATGCAAAATGTATTAACTCATAAATACAAAAATGACAAAAGTTTTACAACATTTTTTTCGGTGCTTTTAAACTAATACTCGTAATTTATAAACGCCATTAATGTTTAAATCTTGAATGTATTCATATTAACTTCCGCATTGGTGGTGCTATTTTTCGTCCTTTCATTTCCGTTCGACCGAGAATATAATAATAATAATAAACTACGCCAAAACAGTTCGTATCTCTGCTCGCATATTCGTTATATTCACTGCCAGCACACGAAATTCACATAACGAGAGCAAACGACCATGCGAATGGAGAAAGATGACTGGGCCGTGGAGGTGGGGGAGTGGAAAACTGGCCGAAAGTGGATGGATGGGACAGATGGGATGTCGATATGCCGGCCCGACGCGGTCGTCCGTTTATAATATGCTCGCGCGACGTTTTTACCCTCTATTTTGCTCAGCGTTACTTCAGTTTACTTCACTTTATTTCGGCATACACCATTTTGTCTAGCATACTGACGCGTACAAAAAGGACGACGCTTTTAGTGTGCCACTATTCCGCATCGGCGGTTTTTATACCCAATTTGCAGGGTTTTACTTCTCTCTGCCTAAGCAAATATAAACACCGAAGGGGGGAGCATGATTTTTGTCAGATAACAAAAGTCACGACAGTTGACAGTCACATAACAAACGTTAGTATAACCTTTAAATTTAATATGTTTGACATTTGACAGTTGTCACATAAATGACATCTTTCAAATTTATTCGATATTTATTCACTCAAAACTCATTTTCAGAATCTTTGACAAATTTACAGAATGGATGTTTCTCGCGGTGAGAAAATTTCAAAAGAAAAAGTAGAAAACCAAGAAAAGTAGTATCTTGTTCAGGTTATGTCGTTTGCTTAAAAGTTTTGCATCAAAAATTGAAAGAAAATCCTTAAAATTATCAAAAGAAAGTTTTTCGAAACAAAGTTTTACTAGAAAAACGCTTAAAAACTGGTGTTAAAATGCTGTTAATATCGTAAAAATGAAAAACATTAAAATTTAAATACGGAGATGATTTTTACAGATATATTAAAAATATTAATCAAATCGATGAGGCAGAAATCAAGAGAATACCACATAACATATATTAATTGTAATAATTTAATAATCTGCATAAATATATAGAAAGAACATTTACGTTCAACTTGCAACCTGCTGAGATGCAAATGTGCAAATATCGATCCGATGCGTATTAATAACTCATAACGCAACGTCATTATTAAGTGCACCGTCAGCTCATTGGTGATGTAATTAATTTCTGATAAATTATAATTAATGAGACGCTGGTATTTATTTTATCATTATAGACATTTAATTATTTGTACAGGTTATGTCCTAACATAACCTACAAAATCAAACTTATGCAACTTTAGAAAATAATTTTAAACATTACATTTCATTCTCTGCCTAACAGTATACGAGTAATATTATAGCACATAATATTAATATTAATAAGTTATTATTAACGATACGATAACTTTTCCGAGACTGGACTTAGTCTCTGTACTCGCAGCACTTATCGGTTATGACTTTCAAGCAATATACAATTTATACTCCCGCTTCGGGTATGCTTCAAGACGCAAGTATTGAAGTTTATTATAGGCACTACCAGGAAATATTCCGGAAAGGGTTTGCGGTGTATAGAGAGGTCTTACAAACTTTGGGTCTCCCTTCTCTTGCAAAATCAACCATTCCAGGATTCACGATACACGCGGAAAGGAAGTAGACTCATGTACCCAAACCGGAAGTACGTGTTAAACCACCGAGGGTACTTTGGTATCTGCAACTTGGTTCCGTCTGTTTCTCTGTTTGAACCAGGTGGCATCATTTGCATCTAACACTTTTCAAAGTGTTCGAAATGTTGGGCACGTCGTGTAGGACATTTTAGGAGGAGACGATTGCGCCCGGGTCATCGAGTTGGAGGGTAGTTTATTGCAAGAGTACGGCAATTGCTCGGACGATAATTGGAAAAGCGAATTTTGTCCGCAACTCTGTTCCGCAGCAACGTCAGATGGCTAATTGAACGTGAAAAGCGGAAAGCGAGGTGATCGTAAACCGTAAATTTAATAACTGTTATCGTCCTAATATCCTGCTGTACCAGTTTTAAGTATTAAATATATTATTATACATCATAAAGTGTTTTAACCCTCACATAACCTCAATTATATTATAATGGTGGTGAAATAACACTAATAATGTTTTGGCTTTGCAATAATAAATTTGCAATAAATTTACGGTGTACGTTTAGAGTTTATCAAGTCCACCCCCGAGTGAAAGTGACACGCATTGTGTGTTTTATTTTCATTATGAAAAGGCGCACATCGCTCATGTTCACGTCGGCGGCGCGTTGTTTTCCCCGTCTAGGAAAATTAATTCGAAAACACGGCGGTTTCGCTTGATTCTCATCTGGTGTGCGACTAATGCGGGAATAATAAGATAGGAGACGATTAATCAAAGCCTTTAATCCTTAATTATGCAAATATTATATAAAAAAAACTCCAAAAACATAAAACCCGCCTAGAGGGCTCTAAGACATAATTATTTTTTTATTTTCTTTGAGAATTTTTTGCGCGTTTTACATGTGTTTTTAATTTTCTTCCCTTTAATGATGACGCTTTATTTTCATGTTCTGGTAGGATACTCAAAGCCGGCAAACACTAATTAGTGCCAAGCGGCGGTTATGATAAACGCTTTTGAGCACAACTCTTTGCTTGAAACGCACAAACGCACCGAATACACAAGGGTTTTACTTTTTCTTGTTTTATGTTGCAGAACAAGTCGATATCTAGGCTTAAAAAGACTAAAACGATGGAACTGTTTTTTTTTATTGTAGAATCCGAATCATTATTTAATCCTTGTTGATTAAAAAAGTCCGAGTTAATCTTAACCTCACTTTACAAAAATCTCTTTTTCTACTTTTTGAACTTAAAATCCTTGAAAAGTTTAAATTTAGATTATGCTTCGATTTGTTGGGTTTCGATTTGCTCGATGGTTAATGCACGACTTGTAAAACGTCAAGTGGCAATCAGGCGACGGACGATTGCGTAAACGCGACTATTCACTACACTCCTGAATACAGATGGCGAATGCTTCTTCACCATTGGAGAATGTATACGGCAGCTTATCCCAATCGGGGTTAACTTTCCACTTTTAACTTTTATTTTTAGGCGCTGCCGCTTTTATTAAAACTTAACTCAGCGCACTGCGCTTGGATTCACTCGCTATTCAGTGGGGTGAATGTGATGAATAGCATTACGAGATTTGAAAGGATGTCACGCATGATTGAATGGGATTAAAGTGAGTCAAGTATCGTATTACGCATTACGGCTAAAGTGTATTAAAATAATAGAATTTAATGAATCAATAATAAAAGTATTCTTACTATTAAAATTTACCATAGTTGCAAAAAATGCGATTTGTTTGTGTTAAAATTTGATTTGACATTGAAAAATGAATCAATAAGCTTCATTTATCAATCATTTGGCATGTTTATAAAAGCATTACTCTTTTGTTCCGTAGATATTCGCACACAACAAAACAAAAATAAAAAATAAAGCTTTGAGCTGCGACTAAGTTGCAACTAATCTTAAAACTCCTAATCCTTGTTGTTCCTTGAATTCCTTTCTTAGAAAAAGCTCCAAACACCATAAAAGAACCAAAAAAACACATGTAGGGAATAAATCTTAATAAACATCAAGTTGACCAAGCCGAGGCAAACCGACGGAAACGAAGGTGGAAAAGTAGGTCCTGGGAATTCTGGTCGTCCCAACCACCACGGCACCACCCCAAACATTTTCAGCGCAAGCACATGACTCGCTTCACCTCGCTTTAGGGTCGCTTTCGCCGGCGAGGTGCATCTCAAGAGACCAAACGTAAATTATGCATTATATAGTTTTCCTCAATCCACGCAAAGTAAAAAAAAAACTTGCTCATAGAGATACATAGTCTCAAGGATAAAAGTTTACGAAACATCACGAAACAACTTCTTACTGCTTACTCCCTATGGTTCTTAAAATATTTGAGTATCAAACACGCGTCAGTAAACTGTTAAGTGTAAACAAATCAAACACGCACGAAATATGAAGGGAAATATTTGGTTATGAAACTAGGTGAGTCGAGGCGAAGAGCAGAAAGCATGAAATATTACAAAACGCATGCGGAAACCAGAGCAAAACAGAGTTAAAGTGGTATAAAATTCGAGCAATATTTTTCGTATTTATGAATCTCACGCGCAGATTCGGCCTTCATGCAGATTTCTATTGGTTTTTCTTGCTTTCCAGCACATTTCTCCACTTTTCCACTCATGTGTGTACGTATACGTGTTTTTTAGTATGCACATGAGTTCCCCGTGTAGGATAACATTTGGGAATTGTTTTCGTAAAAATTTAATCCGTCGGAAATTTGTGTGCGCGAGCAAAACTCATGCTGCCGCCGCCGGCCCAGCTTTAACATTAATAAATATTGCACATTTTGACTTTTATTACTTTTTAATAAGTTTACGACAATTTGTTAAACATGACAAATGTTTTCTTTTCGCTAGTTGAAAAACGAGGTTATGAGTGATTGATAGGCAACCAGCATTGCTCGCCAGCAGCTGCGAGAGTAAAAGAATGTAATAAAAAATATATCTAGAGTTCATTGTTTGATTTATGAGTGATTACAAAGTTTTTACGCTTGTTCATTATTTTTATTACTCATAATAATCAGGACTGGTGTAAATATTTACGATTGCTCGTAAAATTGTTACTAATTTTTTTAATGTGTTCTGCGAATTGAATTGGGATTAAACTTACGATTTAGGATAACCATTGAAGTTGAACATACCTGAAACAAAATGAAAGTTAATTATTTATCATCTGAATGTTGCTAGTTAATAATTTAATAAATAGGTAAATTTGAAAGTGTTTGAACTTGGAAACTTGAGTTTTTTCGCTTTTGCCAGTTTCAAGTGAGTCAAGTGCGAATCATTAAAGTTTGAGCTTTGGACTTTTCTTCTGCGCGCTTGAGTGGTGCTCACGGTTTGCAGTTCGCACGTCTTTCGAGCGCTTCATAACCGCCGACACAAAATGGCCGCCGTACAGCCGCAGCGTGCTTTTTGAATAATTTTCGCACGCCGTTATTGAATTATTTACCACCTGCTTAACGGATACAACGCACGATAAACGCAAAACGCAAAAGTTTTGCATCCTTCAAATTAGATATTTAAAAGTATGCTTATTAAACTTTTCTGTGCGATATCGATTTTAATGTAGTAGCTAATTATCGCTCAGCACGATTTCCGGCTTCCACACCTTAATCAACGCTATCGAATCCTAGCAGGATGCGTCTGGAACCAAGATGAATTGCACCGCTGGCGCTTCCGTCGCAACTGATCTTAATGACTGCGAATGTTTGTTGCTCCTTGGAGCACGTGCGCCCAGCGATAGTTTCTCTTACTTAGCAAACTCGGACAGAACTCATCGACCGCGTCCGTGCGCTTTGCAAAATCGAACCCACAACCCCCGATAATGAATGTATCGCATCGCGCGTGCTGCCGCGACGGATGGCTTTAATGTTAAATGCATTAAATGTAATTACTGTCATTAACATCGACCGACAGCCAGACAACGCTAACAAAACTCACACAAAAGACAAAATTAAAGGTTAAAAATAAATTTAACAAAAATAACTTTTAAAATATCATAAATAACTAAAAAGTGCGGTTATGTTTATAGTATATTCATTGCTAGACCTTTAATTTGACAAATTCGTTGAATTTTTAATAAAGGAACTAATTCAGAATAAACTTCAGTCGGAATTTTCTTACCCTCGGGTGATACTAATGTATTACATTGTTATTTATTAATTATGCAGATTAAATCAAGCGTATGTTTCTCGCCATGTGCGTAGCGCGGCGCTTTGTGCGTTTTACGCCTCGTGTGCAAACAACGGAAAGTGGAAAGAGCGCGCGCAGAGAAGAAGAAACAAACGGATGAAAGCAACAAGCGGCGAGAAGCGCAAATAAATGCGAACGCGCACGAAACGCGCGCATTAATGAATAAGATAAATGAAAGCTTGCGATAAATCATGCACGTCGACGAAGCGCGAGAAACACAAAACACGCAGCGCGTTTATTTGCGCTGAAATACTTAGATTGTTGATTGAAAACTTTCCAACTTAAAATAATATTATTAAATTTTATATACGAGTATATCGGTACCGCGTATGGCTTTGATCTATTGTTTGGTGTTTGAGGTGTTAGCGCCTATTGTTTAATCCACTTTAAATTGTTCATCTGTTGATAGCCTCATACCAACTCAGTCATCAATAGATTGTCAAGCCTGAAGCATGTCGCTAGCCATGTTTCGAGTGCTTCGAATGCTTTGCAGCTTTCGAAGGCTTCGAAAGCTTGAAGCCTTCGTTCAAGAGCTTTCTGCGCAGCTTTACAACCGGCGATGCCGCCGTCGCTATCACTAGAATAATGCCATAACGCCTCTATCTTAAACGCGCTTTCATGTTTCATCTGCCATGTCCTATCCTTCCACCATCACACATTACACAGTCTTTCGAGCCTAACCCCCCAACTAGCAATTCCACCCACTGGGAACGCATTCAATCTGTACTCGTTCCACTAGCTTAGGTTAAAGCTGAGGTATGAGATGTTGCTGCTACAAGTGGAGGAGGTTATGTTGGTAGGGTAGACATTCCACCTGTATCCTTTACAGACAGTGGGTTCTCTTTATGGGAGTTTAAAGCATAGTAAAAGCTTTCTTTTTACATTCTCTACAACACTACTACTAGCGTGCAAACGATACATATGTAAATGTAAGATGCTGAGATGTAGAGATTAAAGTTGAGAACGACTGGTATTATATTCCTACGATGTAAGACATGAATATGTTTTTTGATTATATTTGTAGATCAACAAAATACACGCTTACCTTCAGGCAAAAAGATAATACCACTTTAATAGCACAAATACCGGTCAATATTAGGTTATACTTATGTTAGTTAAGATATGCAACCAACTAAACATGCTTTCTGGGTTGCTGGACTTGAATCACATGTTTTACAAAGTTTACTCCTTGATTTTTGTTTGTCTTTTACCTTAAAATTAAACAATAAATTAAAAACTTGGCAAACTCCCCAATTTGTAATAAAAATTAGCACCGATTATGCGAACAGGCAAACTTTTGCCGTCGGTATGACTCTTTGTTCTTGGAAAAACAAGATTCACGCGGCAAACAAAAAGGATTAAACCGAAAATTCCTGCGCCCAAGAAATCGTCGCAGATGTTCGCACAATTAAAACTTTCCGACGTTCGTCGCAATGTTTTCTTTTTCGTTTAGCTACGCTTCAGTTCATATTTGAGTTGAATATTAAAATTTCTTCAATCAAAAAAAAAAAGAATATCATATTATTTTCATTGAGAATGCAAAACTTTTACTTTAAACAGTTTGAAGGCGTTATTTACGTTGTTTTGAACGGCTGCATAAAAAAGTTGCGTGGTAAGTAATGTGGAAAAACGTAATAAAGCGCTCTCTGAGAATTAATCACATTATGCATAATTCGCCGCAGTTCGTAATGACTCGCAGTTTCTTGCATTCGTGGCAGCGCAGTTTGCGGTCGCACGAGTAAGTTTAAATTGTGCTAGAAAACGGAAAACTGCACAAAACAAAATGAAGATATTCTAGTTTTTAAATATAAAATAAAATCAGTACTTTTTACATATTAAGTGTAAAATAGTAATTAGAGCGTAAAATGAAATTAATTAATTGAAATCATTTGTTGCCCATGATGATAAATGATAGATAAAAACACACTCCATGAAAACTTTTCAATATTCATCCTTTTATCCTGTTGGAAGTAACTCAAGGAAGAAATAAATGATTAATTAGTTTATAATAACTTTTGGGTTTCACTGACAGTTTAAACTTCCCCTGAGTGAGAGTACGATTAAAGAGGGTAGCATTTCGGGTCCTGAGAGTTCATCTCTTGCCAAATGAGAATGCGTGACCATCCGGCAAGCGAAACAGAAGCAGCCACTTATGTTTCAATCCGCCGGCTGGATTAGTGACTAATGATGCGTTTAATTAAGACGATGTTTTTTCGCACGTGGTCTCTAACGATTTACTTCGGAGACTTTAGCACTACAGTAACTCCAAAAGACTTTTTAAAGACGACAAGAAATGTCAGAGTCAGTATAGTAAAGTGACTAATTAGAAAAGTTGAAGTTTGTTTCAAGGTGCATGACATTAATTAATTATCTAATTAATTTAATAAATATTTATTTATGAGTAATTTTTATGTGTTTCATTGTGTGTGTGACTATAATATTAGTATTCATTGCAATGCAAAGACGTCGGATGTCTTATTTGAAGTGCCTTTTATATTTCATGCCATTGCCATGCAAGCAATTCAATTTAAAATTGTGGAAATGCAGAAAATGCCTTGGAAAACTAGAAAGTCATGTAAAATGCAAAAATACGAATGAATAATATTTTCTTATTCTTGATATCTTGAAATGCAATAAATTTAAAACTTAACCTAAATAGCTAGCTCAATTGGTTGCCTAGATAGTTTGTAATGTATAACTTTACTAATACAAAAACACTACAAGAACAAACAAATGACAACAAAACAAATTATCTCTCACTCCAGCCTAATTCCGACCGTAATTTCCTCATTTTGATACATTTCCGATATTTATTTATTCTTCCTGCGCGCGTGCGGCGACAGCGTGATTAAACGACTTTGTGTCGTTTTACTATTTGTTATACCCACGGATTCGATTGTTGCCGTCTTCGTGTTGGTTGTGAAAAAAGCACAGCACGAATGCCAAGACGCAGGATTCAAGACTCGCACACGTCGCGACAAAACGGACAGGCAGCATACAGTCGTTGAATGAGAAACTTTGCCCCCGATGGCGGGCCATGGAAAAGCACTAAAATACCTAAAAGCACGAAGCAAGTGTAAAGAAAAATAAATGCGTAGAAGCGCAACGAATGGGAAGTTTTGTGAAAGAAAGAAGTTTTCAAAGTTTTGCAATTTCAGGCGCTATTTGCGCGATGGCACACACTGCGGCGATACATTGTCAGGGAATTTGAATAGTTTTTACTATTTTCCTGATATTTGCATGTTATAAATTTCAAACAAACTTTTGTAAACAACAAGCAACCAAAAGCACTTTAAAGTGAATTAATTTTATTGTTTTTACATAGGCAACCAATTATGCAAATACAAATCTATCTATATTTATTCAATTATACTCTCTGTACGAGTTCTCTGTACAATTTTTGTAACATTTTATGTGTGTTTTTTAAAAAGGTTTTAATTCCCAAATTATTTCGATAAAAACATGCTTTATTACACAAATAATAAAAAAAATTTTTGGTAAAGTTATGTCCTGTTTGAGATTGCACAAATTTCATCATTTTTAAAATCCTCTATAAACAAAAATTACAATATCAAACAATAAAACTTAATTTGAATAAAATGTGCTCCTCAAAGCCTCAAATTTTATTCCTCGGTCTAAGTTTACCACAAACTCATAAAACTTTCATGCTCTATCCATCAAATTCAAACAAAGAACAAAGTTAAATAATTTCAACACTAATGGTGATTTTAATGAAGCGTACCCGAGCATATTTACAACCATTCAATTTAATTCGTTATCATCGTTATCAATTAAAATGTTAATCAAAACTTTTCCGTAAAAAGCATTTACTGTTATCTGATGTTTGGCTCGCAGTGCGTTAAACGTGCAACTTTTACTCCCTACGACGTTACTGCCAACGAGCCACCATCATGAGAAACGTCAGTCGCATTAAAACTTGATAATTACTCGACTTTCGTTATTAGTTTAGCGTCGTCTCGTCGTCAATTTGAATTTGAGTGTTTTAACGCTTGTCACGAGTTTAACAACTACATAAAACTATATTAACAAAGACCATAAGTTTTAAACCACAGGTATGCAACCAAAAATTCATTATGTTTGTATATCAAGTTGCCTATAATAAAATATATATCTAATGTTTTGTTGCGATTGATTTAACAGAATTTATGTGCAGATACTAACGATATGATGCTGTTTCTGTATAAACATTGTAACCACTGTATTCACCGCACGAAAAAATATTATTTACGACGGCTGGCGAGCGGCATGTGAAAATCCAAGTCGATCGCATAAATAATTCAAATATTGCCCGGCTTCAAAGCGTGCACGCTTGAATCGAGCGAACGAAATGTGACGTGTGCGCTCGGACACACGGAGCACATGCGATGATCATTTTAATTTTGTTTCATCCACCCAACAAGAGTCGAAAAACTTCGATACAAGTTAAAGTTGGAAAAGCAAAAGTAACGACGCATTGAGAAGCAATGAACTTAGGTTAGGATATAGTAAATAAAGTTGAGAATATAATTGAAATTGTACGTTTCTGTGTTTCAGTAGTGCGTTCAGTATTGTTGGGTTTGAGTCGTGTGGTTGTTATTGATTGAAGTACAACTTTCACGTTTCACCTGCGTTCCCTCGTCTCGTACAAGCACAATGACGTAGTTTATTGTGCAGGTATAAAAAAAGCAACGCAAACAAAACCACCATTATATTATTACGCATTGTGAAGAAAGGTTTACACTAAAACTGGAACTAGCAAATAATCATGTACAATATTACATTTTAGATTTTACTAGAATTTTTTTCTTTTTTTTCCGAACGCAATTTTTGATTTTTTGCATGTTTCATGTTACATACCAGAAATTCTTAGCATTCTCAGCTAACCTCGAAGGTTGCGCAGAAGGGTAACAGCAGGTTGGTTGTTAAAGTTGACGTGCTCGACGGTCATTCATCAAAAAAAGGCCGCCCAGCTCGAAATGAAAATTTCCACATATCCTACAACCACCGCCTGCCTTCAACTTGGTTTACACTCGACCAGCGCAAGAAGCCTACCCTTTCGTTGTTCGCAGGAAGCGCGCATGCAAAGCTCAAACAATTTGCTTGATTTTCTTATTTTTATCGCGCCGGCCGCGTTCGTTCGCATGGAAAACGCAACCTCAACCTCAGTAGGAAAAAAAAACAACTTAGGCATACCTGTATACACTGTATGTACACAAACTCATGTGTATGTGTATTTGTGAGTAGTGTTGCCTATATTTCAACGCACGAGTAGCTCAAGGAGGCGGACGTTAAAGCTACTCTAAATGCAAGCGTCCATGATATTTTTATTAGCAGCGCAAACGAATTTCCTCTTCACTTCCTCTTTCTACGGGTTTCTATCTGTGTGTGTTTTTTTCTGGTATTTTTTTTCATTTCGTGTATTGTTGGTTGGCTTTATATAAAATTTTTCATTTTTACGTTTCCTATCGCCTTTTCTCGGAGCGTCTCTTATCTAATGCGACAAAAAGCGAAGCAGAGGAGAAGAAACGAAGCCGCTTTGTGTGCCTGGCGTGTAGGGCAGGAAGGAAATGTACTTTCTGTACTTATCCCGCACAACGAGCGCACAAAGTCATATCATTTACTGGTGTGGAGTGGCTTTTATGATGTGATAGCTCTACACTAGTATTTTTACTACTTTTATACCACAATTAATTCTTGGCGCCATATTGGATTTGAATGTGAACCGTGATAATGCTAAAATTAACTAATTAAACAGCCAATACTGAATGTTATTGATGTAAATATTGAATCAAGAAATTGGGCGACGAATCTACGTCATTTGTCATTTATTAATCTTCCCACCCCTTAGACTAGGTCTAGATTTTGGTGAACGGTGACAACTGTCGTTCATTATTCAACGCTCCGGCATGTTTCAATATTCCGTCACTGACGTCTCACTTGTAATTCTCTTCTAAAGCGCTTCCACTTAACAACTCAATCAATCCGCCATTTGCACGAAGCAAAACAGATTAATTTTGATTGTTACGAATAAATCCGCCATATTTTACGAAAAGTAAAGAGGTTATGTATACGGAGTATTTTGCACGTAAAGTATTACTCTGTACGAGTCGTAATTTCATGGAAACGCAGTAATTACTCACGAAAAGCATGAAATATTTACTCAGGCGCACGACGTACGCCAACAGATTTGCATAACGCAATTTATCAAAATTGTGTTTATCAAAAAACGCGCGGATGCAAAACCCAGTACGAGTGAGCTGAACGATCAGAAAGAAACAAGTACAAAAGTCAACTTGGAAAAACTATGAATTATTACAAGCAAAGTGGGATAAAACTTTAAAAAATGAAATATTGTTAAACACATACATAACCTTAAATAAAAATATAGGTTAGGTTTTAATTGAGGTTGTGCTGATCTTAATTGGGTCGAATTGGCACTATTTGGTTGATGGCATCATCAATCGTTTGATGGGAGGCAATCTGTATAATTGTCACATCGGTGCATCGTTTTGTTCTCGTTTTGTTCGTGGAAAGGACAAAAATCGCACGCTCCAATTCAACGCGACGCCGACGCGTGCAATTGTTCGCTCTGGCATTGCAAAACCACCGCATCTGTGCAGCCAGAGCATTTGCTTGTATATTGGCCTCGTCGCATCCTCCAACAGGATAATAAAGTAAGCCAAACTCATCAGAGCATCGCCGCCTCGTCGAGCTCGATCAGGACGGGAAGCCGTCGATGGAAAAATAGATTGTGCAATGCTACCAACTCACACACACATCCTCATCGTGGTAACTGGTATAACCAGAACAAAACAAAAAAATAATCGAATAAAATCGAATCTGGATTCTTCGCACAATTTTATTAAATTTCCTACGGTTTCCTTCCTACACGGTTAATTTGGTTGGTTTATTGTGGTTATGTTTGTTCAACTTTATAACCTAACCTAATTTTAAAGTTAATGATTTATATTGTTTTAATGTATTGCCGGAAATTACGGGCAATTTGTAAATCGTGAAATTCTCTTTTTATCGATGGTTTGAGTTTGGTTTGACTTCATTACGAAATCGATAGCATTGTGTGAGAATGACGACACAACAAAGGAATAGCGGGAAAACTAGTGGGGAAATTTAATAACCTCTTATTTTCCGCTCGTTCGAGTGAAACGATTTTCAACGCTCCTCGGTCCGAGCCTTAAAGTGGCGCCGTGCTTTAAACTACTGAAATTGCGCGCATAACTAATGGAAATAATGGAAAAGCTCTCAAATGCTTATAGTCGAGCTTTAAACAACAAAAAGTTCAAGTCAATAAGAAAAAACTTTGTGTAGTTTTCGAGCTTTTAGTAAAACTGAAACTTTTGACAGTTTTTGACAGCTTTGTAGTTGCATAACCTCAAGTGCTGTCTATACACGGGATTTTAAAAGTTTTGTTGGTAATTTTGATGATTTGTTTGTATTGTTTGGTGTTTTTTGTTGCTTCTTGTACCTCATCATAGATAAAGCTGTCGATTTCCTCCAATGGCCTGCCATAGAGCTTTTTCGGAAACGGCTCGTACTTGGCGGGCAGACGCGAACCGTCTTCCACACTGAGTTTGCGGCGCGGCTGAAAGCCGTACTCCTTTATAAGCTGCACCGTCTTGCGCTCGAGGCGTTCGAGCGACTCCTTGGTGAAGGGTTTCACTTGCGCCTTCTGGTTCTTAGAGGGGCGCGCGGGTGGCGGGTCGGAGGCGCGTTTGGCGGCCGGATCGAAGCCGAGCGGCGCGTCCTCGACGATGCGCGCCTCCGGACCCCACGGGTACGATACCGGCCGGCGGCCACTCGCACCACCTCCACCGCCACCACCACCCCCGCCGGCTGAAGCCGCGATCGTCCAGCCGAAGCGGTCATCGAACGCCGACGCACGGCCGTCGTCGCCGTCGTCGTCGTCGTCATGGTGGTGGTGGCCGGTGTCGCGCGCCCGCGGTAGTTTCACACGCTCGAAGACGCATTCAACCGGTGGCGGCGACGCGCCGCCGTCCTCGTCGTCGCCGTCCGCATCGTCGTCGCGGTGGTAGTAGCGCCCGGCGGCGGGGGCGGCGCGCTCCCAATCGGCGGTGCGGAGCGATTCGCGCGACATTGCCGGCACACGCACTCGCGCGCGCGGGGGCGGGGAGCGAGACAGAGAGTGTGAGTGTGAGAGAGACGCGGCGCGGCGGCTAGGGTCGGCGCTCACGGCGGGCCCACGGACCACGGGCCGTTGCGTGGCGGCGATACGGCATGGCGGGTGTCTCGCGGTCGACTGCTGTGCGGGCGCGCGCCGCCGCCGCTTCGAGCCTCCACCACCGGCTCCCGGCGCTTTCACACGCGCAGGCGGCTGCTACTAATAAAAATTATTCATTCCAACACCACAGTACATTTTGTTACATTTTATATAAAATCATCAAATGAAAAGTTATTCTTAATTAAATCTCCGGTTACCATTTCGTGTTTTTTTTTCTCGTTTCTTGTTTTTATAGAATACTCTAGTGACCCTACATTTAATGGCACTTATTTGAGGTTACCAGGTGAACCACCGATCACACTAAAAGCCTCTCCTAGGCCCAAATCGCGTCTACTTCAAGCACGAAATGAAAAAATTGCATTAGTTTGAACCTTTCTCCCGTGTATTTCCTGTTTCTATGTTGCAACACATTTCTTCCTAACTACACGCGCGATTCTGTACACGCCGCACGTAAATAGCATCGTTGCAATAAACAAAGATTAAAGCGAAAGGCTTCACAAACATTCCTACACCGCAGAGCTAAATTCAAACTAGCTACAAACAAATTTCAATGCATAGTCAATATGCCATCGGCATTTGCACAAAATATTTCCATAATTCACAGGAAAAATTGTATTCGCTTGTTAGCCAGAGAAAACATTTAATTTAATTTTAAATACGTGAATAGTTTTTGCAGCTTGTACACTGTCAGAAATGTTGATGAAATATTGATGAAACAATATCGAGATTGCATTCGCCAATTTTATTGAACACGAAAAGTCCTACTGGATAAAATAGCAAATGGTGCAATATTGAAAACAATGAATGATTGTGATTGTCACGTTTTAATTGACACACTGCATGCTTTTTCACGGAAACTCAACTCAAATAATATCACAATTTTATTTGTTAAATTAAATTGTTACCTTTAAAAATAAATGTTTGTATTTTTTTGTTGTAAACTTTCATTATTCGCAATAGTGTAAAAATAATTGTAGCAGATTAGTGGCTCTCCGGTTTGCAGGACGAGAATAACGAGCCGGACGAGAGTTTATCAAAAGTTTTTTTATTAAATCAAGCACGAGCGGGTCTGGAACAAGTCGTATATAAAACTAAAACACACCCACCCACACACATATACTAAACTTAGGTTATGTCCAGCTGGAAATAAAGAAAACCAAAAAGAGCAAATGCGGAAAAGCGGAAAGTTTAACGATAAACTCAGCGAGCTCGTGGTGCGCCGCAAATATTTCCAACTTTTCGAGCAAATACCAGAGCATAACACGAGTGTTTGAACTAGTCGGGCATTTCAGTAGCGAATTTCAGAGATTTATACATTGCTGGTGTATGTATAGTTGTCTAACTTTAACTCTCTGAGTGTTCTTCGCTACTTGTTGTTTAGCTATTGTTACCGAACGGTTTGATTGCTTATGAAATACCATTCAATCTTCATCAATTTCGTTCTCGTCAGTTTGTTTCGTGTGGAAACGTAGAAAAAAACGTTTGCAGATTATCGTTTATATGGAGTATTGTTGGTTATATAACTGGAAACTTAACAAATAATTAAACAAGGATTTAAGGGTTTAAGTTTTCCTCAAATAATAAATATAATAACACATTATTGGAATTACCAAAAAAACTATAATTGCTCTTTTTTAAGTTAAAAAAGCGAAAACGCAAGTTAATCTTAATTATCATCATAATTTATGGTCAGCAGTTTGGTGGAGTGTAGTTTGAGCGGAGTTGTGGGCAAAAAAGGCATACATCAGAGACAAATTGTGCGTGACCTGTGTGCACGGTGCACAATTCCCAAATTTTCAATTCGACCGGCGACGGCAGGAACAACGGCGTGCCGGCACGAAGGAACTGGGTCGTGGGCTAATTTATTATTCCTCATTTGGTATTTACACTAAGGCCTCGACGGGCCAAGGGCTCCGCACGAAGCACAGGCACGTTTGCACAATCAGCAGCCCTCGTGCGCGCCTCCACCAAGTTCAAGCTTACGAAAAGGAACTAGAACTCAACTTATTGTTCTGTTTCACTGTTTCAATTCTTGTAAGGCGACTCTAATTATGAAATTTACTACGTATTTGTACTAAGAATACTAAGAATATAAATAATGTAATTTGTGCAGAAATTTATTTGATAAAAATTTGCAATTAGCTAATCCGCCATTTTGTTTTGTACGTTGTGACACTACAAAAACAAATCATACTTTGTAGTATTATTCAAGTGTTTCTTTGCCTTGGTTTAATTCTTTCAGTAAACGTTTCGCATTTGACATTCATTCAAATGCAAATCGCTTAATTATGCCGTTTAACGTTGCCATAAAGTGGCAATAAACGTCATTCCACGTCGGGCCGAATAGTTTTCGGCACAGTCTCCAACCCCCCGCAGTCACTCAAGTCGTTCCGTCTCGAAGACTTCACGACGCCGGAAACGGTGAACGGAAATAGAGCAATAGACCTCCATAGATTCCACGGCCTAGACGTTAGAGGTTAGAATAGGTTAGGTTATGTTCGATTCTCAGCGACAGCTACATATTCATTGTGGCAAACAAAAGCGAAGCGACACAGTTACCACCCTCAAAATCGAAAGGGGATTACAAAGTGGATTATTAATTCTGCGACTGAATTATTGCTTTCTGAACTGAAACGAATACCATTCGCAATTCAATGTAGTACTGCAGATAACAAACCAGGATTGAAATTAAACAACGACAAAGGGGTTTTAATTTATGTGCATTCCTCACGAAACAATTGACAAGCAATTCTTGAGAAAATAAATACAGGTTAGATTTATAGAGTAATCTAGTAGGTTATATTAAAATTTAGGTTATGTTTGTTTTGGTTTATTATGAGAAATAAAATTGCTGAAAATGAAGATGAATTAAAGTGTGTTTTGTGGGCAATGCGGACTTTTGGAATCCTCGTAGGTAAACACGAATTTTGTTAGTGAATATTTAAACCCCTCTGCGTCGTGCGTTTGCAGCGTTTGCAAGCTGGTTGTAGGTCGTAGCTCATCTGACTGCACCGGAAAATGCTTTATTCTCACTCCTCCGCCTGCTGGACCTAACCAACGTTCAGCATTCGATGCCAGTCTAAGTCTTTCTCTTAGTGCTTTGAAGCGTCGAGCTTTCACGCTTTTGTATTCCATTGGCGCCGCCGCCGAAACACAAAACACAGACATAACCTAACAACATGTGTTGCGTGTATTGTGTATGCTATGTGTTGCATACCTATAGGCGCGCAATCGCGTTACACACAAATTTCCTGTGTGTTTCTCCCTTTCTCGTTTCCTCGCGACGCAGTGTGGCTGAAATGATGTGGGTGTGAATGTGGAACATAAACGTAGACGTGCTCATGCAAGGACTCATGCAAGAAGCCGCGCGGCAGGCTCGGCCGTTCGATGCAAATTAAAATCATGAAATATTCACGGCGTTCGAGACGCATCGCCGTAAACCGGCTGAAAGTGGCTGGCGGCTGCCGGCTTTCATCCAGTGGTCGAAATCCATTTCACATATCCCTCTAGCCCGCACGAAGGGTGCGAATTTCGAGATTAAAAACAAACGTTTATGCTCATGAACTCACAAGCACTCAAATTCAGAGTCGGCTCAACTGAACACTAGCGCACATTTGAGGTTATATCGGGCTTAACTATCCAATAATACAGTGTGTTTTTAAAATTGTTTGTGGAACACAACAAAATTCTATCAACCTAGATGTTGTTTACAGTAACTTTATATGTTTGTTTTTTTTTTGTTCAAATTTTATGATTTTTCGTTTTTTTCGATTTCAATATAAGTCAGGAGTTCAATCTTGTTTGCTTTGCCGCGCGTCTCGGCTGTCTCGTCTGACAGATTCCAATATTCCTACGGAAGTTTAATGCAATCGAGCGGGTTGATTATTATATTTTCCTGCGCCGCGTTTCGATCCTGACTTGATACCGATTTCAAGGATGAAGCATATCAAGGATATCGCGTGTTTATCAGATTATGTCTTATCCGACGCACAAATCCAATTCAGTTCGTGTGTGTATATATTTAGAAAAATGTATTGATTTAATTCAAGTATTTAAGAGAGAAGTATTTATAAACTAAATGAAAATGTGACCAACTCGTAAAATCTGTTATACTTGTTTGTGCGGAGAGGAAAAAAAAGTTTTGCTGTGAAAAGTTTGCAGGAAAACAGTCCCTGCTCGGGTAGCTCATCAAATATTTGCTCACGTCATGCGAGCAAATGAATGAGGATGTGCGAATAACTCAATTACAAACCAACACAAATTAATAGTCCAAAAACGGGTTATTCCGAACGTAAAATGAAAAAAAAAATGCAGTAATAAATAACTTAAAATTAAAAATTACAAAAAAAAAATTATTAAAAAGAAAATTAAATGTTTGGTTTATTCTAAGAGTATATGTTCAGTTAAGAGTTTAGTTTTGCGATTCTTTTGACGGTGGCAGGCGTAATTCGTTTGAGAAGCGTCTGTAAACACGCGTAAATAAATAATTTATATCTTACTGAGTTAGTTGAAGCAATACTAACAAGCAAAAGTAAGAAATTATAAAAACAACATTAACAGGTCAGAGCAATCTATTATAACCTTAAAAACGTGCATCAACCCTAGTTACTGTAATATATGCAACCCAATACACATATGGATTTTTTTACGCTAGTAAATTTTCCATGAATAGCTTTATGATGTAAAAAAGTTGTTTAAAACTTAATAACATTTTAATTATTGATTGCGATAAAATTTATATGTGACATGTCTCAACCGAATAGTGCATGCGACTTTAGATGTCTCTTTTATCGTCGCTTTTTGCATGAAAACTCTCAAAGCTCTCAACTTTGAGCGTTTCCAGTTTTTTATGTTTTCCGGTTTTTATCACATTATTTTTATAGTCGTGAATTATCGTGACTGCAATTCTTATTTGGAATTTTAAAATGGCAAATATAACTTGCAAACAAAGAATTTAGTTTTTTATGTAATAAATTTATTTAATGATGCTTTTATTACTTGAAAAATAGTTTTTAGCAAAATGACATTTGCAACATTTGACTAACCAGTTAAGAGCTAGAGTTTATATATGCGACAGTTGTCACGCTTCAGATTTAACGCGACGATAATATTTATTTGTAGGTGCGCAGTCCGGACAAACGCCGACAACCGATAACGACTGCAGTCGACGGCGGCGGCGGCAAAACGCGCCGCAATAATAATAAATATTCGCATAAAACTACCCCAACTCCTTCACTCCCACCGAGGGTAGTTTTACCCGTTTTGCACATTGGAATAATCGTTTAGTCTCTTTTCTCGCTCACAGTTTTTGTCACACAAACTCACTCACTCTCAAACCGCCTGTTCTGCCACCCTTAAACATCTGTTCCAGCAGGAGAACTGTTACTGTTTAATATCAAAAAGACAGCAAGATAGAAGACGCAACGACATGCGAAAAACGACACAAATAGCGCATACTGGAATCATGCAGGAACAAAAAGCGCGAAAACTCGAGCGAAACGAAGATGTAGTACAAGAGTGTTTAGCTCGCAGTGGGCTGGTAACGATCCGACCAGGACGACTGCGACAACAAAACGTTTTAATTACGGCACAACTAACGCTCTCGTTTTATTTCATTTTTGATCATCGTCAGCCGCGAATGTGTGTTATTTTTATACGTTACGATGCAATTTGATGAATCATGACAAATCTGACATAAATATAACACACAATAAAAAATATATTGCGGAATAAAACCGAAAGAAGAATAAACAAAAGAAATTTTCCTGTTTTTAAATTTATTTTGTGAAAGATTTATGGCAAATTTAAAAAATGCAACTGATACTTACTGAATTTAATTAAACTAAAATTTTATATCAAATAAAAGAAAAAATATCGATTAGGCGTTAGTTGGATGTTTACTTTGTGCGGTTAGTGTCATTCAAACATCAAATCGATACATATCTGTGGGAAGCGTCACGGCGTCACTTTCCATTAGATATTAGTTAGTTAGTTTTCGTTTACATTTGTTGCTATTTTCGTAATGCTGTTTGACGTGCGCAAGCCGCACGTTTATTTTTAGCCGTAATCATAACAATGAATCGAACCAACCTTCAAACCTAGCTTAAGCATGCATTATTATTCAACTTTCAAATTATGAAGTTTTAAAAAGATGAAACAAAAATATTAAAATATGAAAATATCAAAGATACGTGAATTTGACTGGACAATTGCGCAGCCAAAGGGGATGAAAAGAATTTTCCAACTCTTTCTTGATATGTTACTTTTTTGCAGTAGTAAACGAGCAAAAGTCGCGCTGAGTACGTGACACGAACTGGTGACATACATACCACAGTCACTCCTTCCACCCTCCTCCCCTTGCACGCATCGTGAGTGAAATGAAGAACAAGAACGCCAAATGAAAACAAAACGTTGAAATAAAAAATAAAAATAATATGAAAATAAAAATTTAAGTCAAAATTAACAAAAACTTAAACATTTTATCATAAATTTAGCTCAATTTACATTAAACTAAAATATTAATGTCTAGACATTAATATTAATGCAAAAACTGGATACATAAACTATTATAAATTGTTCTGGTTAGTTTTACTTTCTCATTTTTGAGTGGATTTAAAAGTAAAATGCGTTTTTCATCTTGTTGCTTGAAAATAAAGAAGTAAGCCCGTAAAGAATCGCGTGGGTAAAAGAAAAGTCGACGAAACAGGCGAAACAGGTAACTAACCCCTCATATTATTTATCGACCCACATCTGCAGAGCTTGTTGCGTCGCACACCTGACGTCACGCCAGTCAAGCGACGGCCGACGCATTGAAGCGGCCCAGGTGCGAGTGGCGGAGGGTGCATGCCACCGGACGGTGAAAAACCTACCGGCGGCGACGGGGCGCAGTGACACGGTAACGCGGTATCCTTCCGTCGTCCTCCGCGCTTTTTTTCAATTCGAACTTTTTTCCATTATCTTTACCAGTTGCATCAAATTTCTTAGAAACAAAATGAGTTGAATATATAGAATAAGAGTTGAATATATTATGGAGCCAATAAAAATCACATAAATTTCTTAATGATGAATTATTATGAAAGTTCTTTTATTTATTGGTGCGTAAACCTTTTATGGAAATCGTTAACGTTGGAATTATTGCCTGTTAAAATCAGCAATATTCTACGATAATTTTTAAGAAATAGTACGCATAGCGCCATCTTCACGCAGGTTACCGAAGTAAAACATAGTTCGAATGTTTGAAAAGTTGTTTGGAACAGTGAACGCACCTACGCTCATGATTTTTTGGAAAATCAAAAGTTTTATTAGTCATTCAAATCAATATTAAGAACAATAATCAATATTTTTCATTAAAATAAGTTAATTAGTGAAAAAATATGCTCCAAATACATAAAAATAAGGTGTTGTTAAAAGTTAAACAATGTTTTAGTAGATGTCTAATAATAGCAAACAAAGACCAGTTAGATCAGCAAATATCGACATGCAATTCGCTTCCGGTTTCCCTGGATTTTCGCAACTTTGTGGCTGATGCATGCCTGATGAAAAAGACCCGCAGGCAGCAAATCCGCGCTCGCGAATCAATAGCGGCGAGGTGCGCACTTCTAACCCGTCTGCATCGGATATGTCAGATCGATGCGATGGACGCTATCAGACGATTGGCTGAAGAAAATCAATAGAGGTAGACCGATTTTATCGATTTTTGGCCCTGCGAGAGAGCGTCGCCCGTCGCCCGCCGCCCTCTTCTCCTGCCGGCGCGCTCGACCTGCACTCGCTAGCGTGCTCCCTTTCGCACGTTGCATTTGCGCTTCCTCAAACAGAGATCGCTACAAAGGGGACCCGCGACGCCGATTGAATGCGGCTCGCCGGGGGTGAATGCGACGCAATCACACTCGCGCGCTCTGAAGACAACACACAACACGCGGACACGAGTTGCGTAGAGATATTTAAAGTTTTATTTGTCACCAGAGTTGAGCGTGAAAGTGAAATCAAAGGGTTTGCGTGCTACATATAAAGACGTCCGTAAAACTGCGCAAAATGGGAGAGAAATTGAAATAATAACAACACGTGCTAGAGTGTAAACGCAGGACGCAGGACGGTACAAAACGCGCGAGAATTAAGTGGTAGGGTGAACAGGAAATTGTTTAACTTGTGCGCGGAAGATAACAAAGTAATTTCCGCGAAAACAAACGAAACGTGCGAATAAACGTTGAAAAATGCGGAAACAACGCGCTGAGTCATAAAGAAACGGATAATATAGTGTAAATAAGAGGTAAGAAATAAAACGAGTGTCTTTGTCTTGAAAGCGGAAGTCAAAAACAATCAAAACACAATGAAAAATCAAAATATGTCATCAAAAAATTGATGTGAAATATCTTGAATTTTGAATTTTAAAAATATTTATATTCCAACCCTGTTTACATTCATTCACCTCTCAATGTTTGTTTTGTTTTGGTTTTTTTACCATTGAATGTTTCAGTTCCTTACTACTGAGTAAACAAAAAAAAAACTCCAAATAAAAATGGATATCAACACGGAGAATTACCAATTGAAATGGCATTCATTCGGCACTTATCTTCATGGATGCGTAGCTGCTGCCCTAAATGGCGATCAATTTGCAGACGTCGCACTAATCACGCTCGATGGTCGACAAATCAACGCGCATCGTTTCATCCTCTCCGCTTGTAGTCAGTACTTACAGCAAGTCCTCAAGCTTCAAACTAAAACTACCCTTCCCCAAAGTAACTTGTCCATCATCATGCCGCCCGAGATCAGTCACAAAACTCTTAAAGTCTTGGTGCAGTATATGTACAGCGGTGAAACAACGGTGTCCCAAGATATTTTAGAAAGTGTACTAAGAGGTGGTGATCTCCTGAAAGTCAAAGGTTTATGGAGACCTAAGGAAGATGAGCCCGCAGAAAAAGTTGAGCGGAGTGTAAATGAAAGAGTGGATAGAGATCGTGATCGCGACAAAGATAGAGAACGCGCTGATAAAAAATCCTATTCAAAATTAAACTCAAGGCATGCTAGAGATTCTACCCATGGCTATAGCCACACTCACTCGAATGCTCATTCGAACTCCAGTAGGAGCAACGCTTCCACACCTTCACACACCTACAGCCAGAACAGCACATGCAGCACCCCAGTTAACAATTCAGTTATTAAGGAACCCAGAAGTTTATATGATCGAGGTGGTGAGAAGTACGACAGGTATGAATCTCTAGAGAGGCTTGATCTTATAGATAAACCAGAACGATCCGAGAAACAGAATAGGACCGAAAAATCTGAGAAACATTCCAAACCAGATAGGGCTGATAAGAATATTCCAACAAAAAGGTCTAAGAATGATGAATCCGTTATTAAAACAACACTCCAGACGCCACCACCTTTGGCACCCATACAAATCCGCCATAAACAAGATAGAATCGATCGGCACGAACGACAAGAACGCGTGGAAAAATCTGACAAACAAGAAAAACTCTCCAAAACTAATGATACAGTCAACGAAAAAGAGATATCAACGGCAAAGGACTTGATGCAAATATTGGTTATTAAAGAAGAGCCTTTAGAATGGTCAGAGGTGAACCAGGAAGAAATCGAACTAGTCGAACGAGAAGAAATCTTCGATTCTGAGTTGTTGATTAAACCTGAAATTCAAATGGACGACGGTGAAGAAAATCCTGAGAGTCTGTACACTCCATTGACATGCGAACTTTGCGCTGAAACTTTTACTCTACCTGCTGATTGGGTTAAACATGTGCAAACCCACACCGATATGATGCCCGCAAAGAGGCAAAAACGTGGGAGGCCTTCAAATGTAAGCGTAACAACTAAATTCTTTTACTTTTTTTGCATAATCATGGTTTGTTTCCTTCAAGGATGAAGATAACTCAAACTTCCCACCACTACAATGCGATATGTGTCAGGAGTACTTCCCAACACCCGCAAAATGGGTGCAACATATTCAATTTGCTCACACCGAGCAGGAAATGCAACACGCAAACAAGTCTACGTCGCGACATAGCAACACCAATAGTAGTAGCGGAAATGGAAGTGGTAATGGTGGCAATGGCCGCCAAGGGCGATCTTCCGTCGGCGGACAAGCAAAAATTACCTCGCAGCACAAAGTTTGCGCCGTATGCAGCAAGAAGTTCCCATCGCATGCTTCCATGATCATCCACCGGCGTACGCATACCGGTGAACGACCCTACATGTGTGACTACTGCTGCAAAGGTTTCAATGTTAAAAGTAACCTACTGAGACATCTCCGCACTCTGCATGACAAATATGTGAGTCCCAATGACATCGAGAGCAAGGAAGGAGATGAAAGCGATGTATAATCGGAGATTTGATTGAAATGTGAATTGAATTGTCCAGTTTCAAAAAGGCAATGACTAGGTTTGAAGTTAACCTGAAGGAGTTTTAAATAAAAGCAAATATGTAAATATTTCGATAAAACAATCCATTATATAAATAGATTTTAACGATTTTAGAGTAAATCTAAGGCATTTGAGCTATTGAACTAATAAATATAACAATCTACTTTGATAATATTACTAAATTCGAATCATTTCATTGACAACAAAAGAAATTTTGTATTTATTGTAATAAAATTGTGATCTGCTTGTATTATTCAAATTATTATCGTAAATAATGTAATTAAATTCTACTTTTTTAATATACTTTTTTGAAATAAATATATTAATTACCTAAGAATACTTGCTCAAATTTAAATTATTTCACCATTCACAAACAAAAACATGAAATAAAAAAGCTTTTAAAAACTTGCCAACTTTACCTGTTCCGTTTTTCCTCGGCTTCGTTCCACTGCAACTGGTTAACTATAAATGGACTATTATGCACGAAGTGTATCTTAATAGAAGGTTCATACTTCAAACCAGAAACCAGCTGCAAAAACAAACAATTTGGTAGTGTCCAGTAATGATTAAATTGTGTGTAGTGTATACCTTGGGTGTAATAAAGAAATATTGACTTGTATCAGGCTGGCAAGTAACATCAACCAACAAATCAAAAATTCTCCTCTCGTTGTTAGCATCCATGCCTTGATTGATTTCATCTACACATCGAAATGGCACTGGAGTCAATTCCTGCATGGATAACATGTACGCAGCAGTGGCCACTGCTCTCTCGCCGCCACTCTGGGTGACATTATTTAACTCCTGCAATGGTGCACCATTCCTATAAGTCACGCTAACACAAATACCATATTTCTGGTAATCCCTCTCATCGTCGCCTTTGAATATTTGAACCTCTCCAGCACATCCCATGCTTTGAAATGCTCGACTAAAACTCTGATTAATACTTTCGACAAGCTCTGAAAGAGGCTGCAACCATTCTTGTTCATGTTGGTCCATATTTGCAGTAATCTCTTCCAATTCCAATCTTTCTCTGGTAAGTTTCCCTTCTAACTCTTCTATTAAACCAATGCGTTCTTCATATTCTTCTAATTCACCTTCGTCGGCAAAGTTATTCAAACATTGTAGACGCGTATTAGCTCGCTCACGTTCAACTTCTAATTTTGAAATGTCATCGGGAAGTTTATCATAAATTGGACGAAATTGATTAAATCCTTCGTCATCAGGTGTAAAGCCACCAGAAATGTCTTTAGCTTTCGATAGCAAATATTTTGCTTCGCCAGTAATTTCATTTAAAGCATCGCGAGCTTTTTGAAGTTTTATTTCAGCTGCTTTCAATGAAGTCCGAATATCTTCAAACTCAATTTCCATAGGTTCGATGCGTAAACGGCAAGCGTCCACTGTTCGTTTGTCTAGCTCAACTTCAATACTCTTTTCACTTGTTTCTTTAAAATCTTCATTGATCCCTTTGAATAGATTAATAATTTTCGATGTCAGGCGCTATAAAATAATATCAGGTATAAATTTATCTGTTTAATGAGATATTTAAAAAAACTTACTTTTGATTTATCCCTAGCATACTCTTCAATTTTTTCCTGGGAATTTTCAGCGTTTTGTACCCTAATTTGATTTAATTTAAGCTCTAAATTCTTAATTTTACCATCAAGATTCATCAAGAGCTGACGATTGTTTCTTAAGCCTTGCATTTTCGACTCAATAGTTGTTTTACACCTGCGCATATCTTGAATCTGCACAAAACGTAACAAATCAACTCATAATTAATTCGATCAACTAAATATTATACCTGTTTATCAACTGCTTGCACTTGTGAATCAAATCCTTCACACTCTGATTGTAATTCGGCCATCTGTCCACGAATCATTTCAATTTTCCCGTGATCAATACAAAACGACAATGATTTATCCGAAGCAATCATTGTTTGTTTAAATGCTTTGTTGCCAGTATATCTTGACACAGTTATATTGTACTTTACATCGCCTCGGTAGAAAACATGAACAGGAACTTCATCAGCATTAAAGGTGGAGTTTTGAAACGCCACAGGAATGTTATGCAGACTATATTGTTTACATAAATAATTTACGATGGGATTTGGTGCGCTAAACAATGAATCAACATATGCATTGAAACCAAATCTTCGCAGTTGTTCAATATTGAATTTTGGTCGTGGTTTGGACGTTGCAGGATCTTGATACAGAATATTCAGTCGCAAACCTTGTCTGGTGCATAAATGCTCAGATAAAGTCTCTACATCTTCTTTATCCGTGCACAAAAACGCAACTTTATCTTGAAATCCAATTGAATTCTCAACATACAAGGCGTGCGCCTGGTTAAAAACGTTAATTTCGATCATAAGAGGTTCGTAAACATCGGAACGAAACAGGTGTTTGTGCTCACGTAGCCAAATAGTCCCAGTATACGCATCGCGATCAATTTTTTCCAGATACGACAATCGGTTTTGCATTAATCTTTCTTGTGATGATATTTGACTTTCCAATGCACGAATTTCTAAACTTTTATTAGACTTTGACTCGCGCAAAGTGTTCATTTTTGTGATTAATTTATTGACGTTGTGTTCGATTGTCTGAGATTCCTTGCTAAGCGTTTCACGTTCATTGGTTTCTATTTTCAGAAAAAAAATCAATTTTATAAAAAAAAGATGTGACAACCTATTTGAATACTAACCTTTATTCACAAGCTGTTGAACTTCTTCTTTATTCTTCTGTAGTTGATTGAGACGAACTTCCGTGTGGTTCATCTCTTCTTCCACATCTTTTAACGCAGTTAATTTATGACTTACTTCATCCTTGATGTCTTGAAGACCATTCTTCATTTTATCAAAGTTGTCTTGTTTAGACTCTACTCTAGTTGTTATTGCATTCAATTGATGCACCTTTCAAAATTGATGTGATAATTCAGTAAACAATAAATTATTTTCAATCAAACACCTACCAACACTTTATGGTTATTCATCATATTTTTCAATTTTCTTCTTTCACTCTCAATGGCCATTGTTAAAGGTTGGGAAGCATTTTGTTTCTCTTGTATTTCTTGGTGAGCTAAATCTCTCTGCTCCTTGATACTCTGTCTCTCTTCAGCTTTCTCCAAATAGTTCAACCACAACTTTTTTCTATTTATATTTTCCAACTCCTGTTTAAACTTCTTCATCTTTTTAAAATTTTTGACTTTACCCTCGAGCCTTTGATTTGCATCTTTTAAATCTTCACATTTTTTCTCTTCATTTTCTAGTGTGCCAGATAAAACCTTATGCCTCTCTCTATCTTTAATAAGCTTCTCTTGCATTTGCAGTAAGTCTTCCCTGCATAGAGCAATTTGTGTTTGTTTCAACAACTCCTGCTTGTTCATTTTAGCAAAATCAGCTACTCTATCTTGAGGTAAAAATTGACAAAGATTATCAACTTGAATATTATACTTTGAAATAAATGTCTTCACAGCATTCAATGTTGTCTTCTCCCCATTGATATACCATGTTGTCTGATCTCTTATATTGATTTTTCTTGTAATTTGGAGCCCATCATCGTCAGTATTGCCTTGTAGCTTGAGTTCTATTATTGCTTCATTGCAATTGTGTTTAACATATTCAGAAACCTAAATATAAACATTATATTGTATAGTAATTATATATTAGAAACTACCTCAGCAAAATTACCTGTTGACCACGGCCAATAGTTTTTGGAGTTCCTCCCAAACCAAGAATAATTGCAGCAACTATTGATGATTTTCCACTACCATTTGATCCAAGAATCATGTTCAATTTAGGACCAGGATAAACCTCAACATATCCATGTGTTCTATTATCATGACAACAAAAGTTAAAAAGGTAAAGTTAAAAGCTAAAATAGAATCAATTTGAATATTTTGAAACAAGTACTTACATGAAATTAGTTAATGTGATCTGTCTAATGGAGCCAGGTAAATACATTCTTGATATTGGCAAATTAAAAGACTTTCAATCAATGAAACAATAAACCCTCACCCTAATAAATGGAATATAATTGATATATTATTAAAGATATGCACAGTTTCTCTCAAGTCTCTTACAATGCTTTACTCGTTTACGTACGTCTATTTTGTGAGGTTAACAGCGATCAGATGAGACTATTTGAGCGGGAAACGATGTTTGGTCTTTTTTTTTTTTTTTTCATCTGGCATTTGAGATATTTGAAGTGAAAACTTCTTAAGAATCGTTGTGATTTCAAAATTAATGAAACGTCATTACAAAGAGACAAAAATATCCGTTTATACGGTTCAGCCTGCGAGAGAATAAGAGAACACAAATATACAGTGTTTCCTATTATCTTCGTCTCCTATTTGTGCGATGCTTAGTAACTTGCCGCAAGCCACTTGTATCTCAATATGCTATAATAACGTTCTTCAAGTATGCTAAAAATGCCGATAAGTGTCGTGAATATTGGCAGAAAAATATTACATAACTTAATTAAATAAGTCTCCCTACATAATGCATTCCATTTCAATCTTATAACATTTCCGGAAGTGCTCTAAAATGCCATTTAAAAATTGGCATTATTCAAAAAAATGGCAAACATGGTGTGGAAAATACCTTGTATTTCACAAACTAATTGATTTTTTTCAAGTTTGTCACCGCTATTTTTAAGTTCGAAAGTTTTCCTACACGATGAATACCCTTTTGATATTCGATTTCTTGTGAAAGTGCCCTACAATGCCTTTCAAAAATTGGCATTTTTGAAAAAAGTTGAAAACATGGTGTATCTTGTAAACTAATTGCCTTTTTTAGAATTTGTCATTGCCATATTAAAGTTCAAAAGTTTCTCTACACGATGCATATCTTTTCAATCTTTCAGCCCTTCCGAAAGTGCATGCCTTCCGAAAGGCATTTTAGAGCCTTTTGAAAACTGACATTTTTCAAAAATTATTAAAACAGGGTGTGAAAAACACCCTGTATCTTAAGAACTATTTGACTTTTTTGAAGTTTTTTTACCGCCATCTTATAATTAAAGAGCCTCTCTACGCGATCCATATCTTTCCAACCTCCAAATCCTTCCAGAAGTGCCCTAAAAGCACTTCAAACATAGCCATTTTTGTCCCAAAAATTTCATTATTTGGTCGAAGAACAGAGTACATTTTTTTCTTAATTTTTTTGGTCAAAGAACAAAGTCGAATTTTGAATTCCTGAACGATTAAACAGTAATTTTTAATTTAATCAGTTATTAATTATGAAAAAATTTGCGGAGGCGCCTGACAACAACACCACAATGTTCAGCTTTAAATCATAGATAAGATAATATTTGAAAAATTTAGAATATAACATGTGCCTAAAAAATTTCCGTTGCGATTTTCTCGGAAAATAATAAATATACAAAAAATTTTCTCCCTTTTGTTCATGCCGTTATATGGATGTATAAAATGGCAGATTTAGTTTTCCTATTTTCCAAAGTTGACCAAAAACCTCTCAAGAAGATCAAGAGTTTACACTTGACTCTTTTTGACTCAAAAATGGAAAACGCTAATCGATTAAGTTTTCCAGGGGATGAAAGATATCAAGCCAGTTTTTCGCTAACATCATTATTTTGGTGGTGGTAAATTCAAAACTGATCAAATAAAACTACCTCTCAATTTCAATTCCATTAATCCAGGTTTGGTTGCCCTATCTTATTTAGTTTTTAAGTTACTGACCATTTTTAATAATTACATAAGTGTTGGTAACTGTAAATTTTAACATGTTATATAATGTAAAACTTAATTTTAGATACGAATATGAAACCCGTTTTCTATATCTCTAATGATTTTCAAGATAAGTGCTAAAAACTGGTTAATTCGTTTTCTCTATCATTTCTAAAAAAAAAATATAAATATTAATATTACAACTTTTTATTACCAAATATAGAAGAACATGTGATTTTTCATATTTTATCTTAATAAAATTTTGTTCAAAAATAAAGCTATTTGATAATAATAACCCAAACTAAGGTTTTGTCGCTATTCAAATTACATACAATTTTTTTAATTAAAATTGTTAATTAGGCCCAATCGATGTAGAAAGAAATTATCTAACCGAATCCGAAAACAGAATTTAAAAATTCCAACTTTTAGTTTTGAGCATAAAAAAGAGAAATCTTTTGCCTTTTTAGAACAAAATCTTTTGTTGAATTTTTATGCATTCTTGTTTTAAAAGAGTGCCATCTTGTACAGAATTTTTAAGGATCAAGAATATTTTTTCCGTAGCCCTTTTAGTTCTCAAGATAATCGCGCTGGTTTTACGAGAAAAATTAATGAAAAAATTCAACCCTGTTATTCGGCCAAAATATTTTAAGAAAGTATGTTCGACCCTATTCTTTGGCCAAAAATATTTTAACAAAGAAGTTCGACCCTGTTCTTCAACCGAAAAAGTTTTAAACAAAAAGTTCGACCTCGTTGTTCGACCAAAAATATTTTAAGACAGTAAGTTCGACCCTGTTCTTCAACCGAAAAAATTAAGAAAAAAATCGACTCTGTTCTTCGACCGAAAAAATTTTAACAAAATAGTTCGACTCTGTTATTCGACCAAATAATGAAATTTTTGGGACAAAAATGGCTATTTTGAAAGTGCTTTTTAGTGTATTTCTAAAAGGGTTATGGGGTTGAAAAGATATGGATCGCATTGAGAGGGTCTTACGTTTTACGATGGCAATAAAAAACTTCAAATAAATCAAATAGTTCTCAAGATACAGCGTCTTGTTCACACCATGTTTTAAATTTTCTTGAAAAATGCTAATTTTCAAAGGGCATTTTTGGGCACTTCCGACAGGGTTCGCGCAACGGATTTTTTTAAAATTGCGGACGTAGCGTTTTCGGCGGTACCGGCCGGCCGCGGTTTTCTCTGTAGCACTTTGAATTTCGCAGCGATCGGGCACGTTTATTATATCGGAGCTCTCCAGCGAGGAAAATAGCAATACTTAGGTAATAAAAACGTGCTTTTCAGCGCGGCAACGTATCAGTAATTATAAGTAAGTTACAATAAATAATTGTATGATAGTTGTTTTAAAATATAAATTAGAGGTATTTCAGTAAAAAAAAGAACTGAATATCTTTTGTTTTTTATGATTGTTGATTATCTTTTGTTTCTAAATGGTAAGAATTTAGATATTTTTTACTGCGGCACATACTATAAAATGTAAAAAGTAAATAAGTAAAAATGTAGTGTATGAATTTAGATATTCCAAAGATAGCAGGAAATCTTCATGGTATAGGGAAAGGGGGATTGTTTTACTCCAAATTTAACGCGTGCGGGCCACGGGCAGTAATGAATAAATCAAAACTACTGGATCGATTTTAATTACATGGGCTATATATTTTATACCACACGTTCACAGTTTTTCTGTAGTGTACCTATTTAGTATCAGTATTGCAACCGTGCGAAGCCGGGGCGGGTCGCTAGTAAAATACTATACTACCTTGGCTACCTAGAATTTTAAAAATTTGGCGTACAAAACTGTTTTTTTCTCATGAACTCATTTCTCATGATTGTTTTGCCGTCATATTGAAGTATAACAGACTCTTTGCATTTGGCATACTTTTTCAACCATTTATGAAATGCCAAAAACGCGCATACAATATTAATATTTTTAAATATTTGAAAACATGATGTTGGAACCAAAATGGAAAAATAATGCTTATCAATATTCCGAAAATATCAATACAAACCAAATTGAGTCCTGCATCGTTTTTTACAACATTTTCTAATTACATGCAGAATGCAGAATGATGCAAAGAATTCATTTTTTCAGGTCTTATTTCAATACCTTAATTAATTTTTAAGTTATTGACTATTTTCAATAAGTAGACAGAAAACAGTAAATCGAGTATTATTATGATCAAACTTTTAATGTCAATATAGTTAATATGTACTATATTGACATTTTAAATTCACATTCAATACCTACTGTTTAATAACTGACGATAAGATGTGTGTATAAATTAATATCACTACATAGTATAAAGTAAAGTCGCTTTTTTTTCCGGTCCCTTTGTGAGCTTAAATCTTTGAAACTACGCAACGGATTTTGATGCGGTTTTTTTTAATAGATAGAGTAATTCAAGAGGAAGGTTTGTATGTATAATAACATCCATTAAATAGTGGAGAAGTACTGTTATTTTTGAGGTTTCTAATGTGATATCGCAAATACAAAGTTTTCGATTATTCCCGTCTGCTCTTTGTGCGATGCTTCGTAACTTCCCCCTCCAAGCATAGACGTGTGTATGTGTGTACGTGTGGGTTGAAGTTGACCGGTAGATGTTTTTGTTTGGAGAAGGAAAGTCGCTTTCTCTGTCTGTCCCTTTGTATGCTTAAATCTTTGAAACTGCGCAACGGATTTTTTTAAAATTGCGGACGTAGCGTTTTCGGCGGTGCCGGCCGGCCGCCCGGTGCGGCAAGAGCGTGCCTATAAATAGCGCGTCTGAGGCCGCGGTTTTCCCTGTAGCACTTTGAATTTAGCAGCGAAGATATTCCAAAGACAGCAGGAAATCTTCATGGTATAGGGAAAGGTGGATAGTTTTACTCCAAATTTAACGCGTGCGGGCCACGGGCAGTAATGAATAAATCAAAACTACTGGATCGATTTTAATTACATGGGCTATATATTTTATACCACACGTTCACAGTTTTTCTGTAGTGTATTTAGTATCAGTATTGCAACCGTGCGAAGCCGGGGCGGGTCGCTAGTTACATTATAATTGCAAGAACGTCCTTTATTATTATTTTTAATGCAAACACATTATCTTGAGCGGCATGCAGCTAATAATAATAAGGACCACAAATCGAAAGGAAAAATTCATTGACAGCAATCAAGCAAGCTGAACAGCACATTGTCAGCGTAAAAACTTTTGGATTTGCCGCGTCTGAACGAATACACAACGCTTTACATTTTGGATCCAATGTACCTGAAATACAACCAAATAGAACTTTTTAAAAAGTTGTCAAAGATTATTAAAATGTTACCGTAATGGAAGCGCAAACAATTAAATCAATAATAAAGTTCATATCGACTTACTCTGTCCCATTGCTACATCAGTTATTACTGAAAGTAACACAATGGTCGCCAAAGAAAATACGATTGTAGATGACTTCATCTCTGTATTTAAAAATTTTAAGATAATAAACTTTAAAATGTGTTATATTTTGTTTAACTTTTTTTGGTTGCTTAGTTTATATAGTCCTAAACAATGAAATAAATTGGTACTGATAATATTCATTGAATATAATTGTATATTTTACCATTCTTTAAAAAAAAATAATTATTGCCGGAAAAAATATCAACTAACCACTTTTGAATGTTTATCTAGATATTAATACATTTTAGATTATATTCTAGAACTCTAAATAATTATTTTGCAAAAACATAACAAAAAAATACTGTGCAGATTAGCTAAAAATAGAATAGTATATTTTTAATTCATGAATTGACGTCGGAAATATATTATAGTCTGTTTATTATCGAGCAGTTATCTTTTAGCAATGGTTTAGTATGATAATGTATTACAAGGATATGCATACAATGATTGAAGATTGAGCCAGCATGCAAAACAACAGTTGGTATAATCATTATTTGGGGGTTGAAGAAAAGCAGCCTTTCTACATAACTGTTGACATTTTTCTGCATCTAAAATCAAATTAAAAACATTATTTTAAATGAAAGTAAAAATATAAATAGACGAATATACCTGATAAAGTTTCGGACAAAGCAATCATTGTACAAACGTGGATTATAAGCATCAAAGTAACTGTAGTATTCATTTCAATGAAATTTCACAACCTGAGTTTATCAAGAAAATAAATTGGTTTGTCTGAATATATACCTACCTACGTCAAGCAGTATGAGATGATAAGATATAGAGTAACATTTTAATCCATTTTTTAATTAACACTATCACTTATTTTTCTTTTTAAGAAATTAGCAAACATGTATGCTAAATTCTGCAAATACCTCCATTTATATCAAAATAATTTTGAAAAAGTGATCAAAAGAAGTGCCCCGAGTGAGGCTCGAACTCACGACCTTAAGATTATGAGACTTACGCGCTGCCTACTGCGCCATCGAGGCTTGGGCCAGAGTTTTTCTGTTGTGTATTTACGTTAAATTGTACTAAAAATATATGAATATTCGTTTTAATAATTTCATTATAAACTGTTATTATACTGGTTTGTTGTTGTTGAATATGATATAAATATTCAGCATAATATCAGTTAACACAACATACAACTAAAAAACAGTTTTCTATTAGATACATTTTATGACAACGTAGCGACCTCTGTCAATGAGAAGATTATTATATAATCACATAAACTAATTATTATTGGAAATGTATGATCACAAATTAATCTGTACCGAATAAATCACAATGTTTATTTATTATTTTTTTACACTTACAAACATTTATGTACAAATACATTATTTTTAATTTGTTCTCGCCGAGTTGAAATCATAAAATATACTCCACATAAAATAAAATAATCTACCAAAACTCAAAATAATCGTATAAGTTTGTATAATTTTTCATTATCACAATGCAACACCTAATTGGTTTCGTACTCATCTGCGCGTTCTTTACTTATTTAAATACTGTACGTCAAATTGTTCTTGAATAATAATAATTAATTAAATCTAGTTATAAGTTATAAACATCGGTAACTATTTGGCACCTACAATTTTATTACATTTTACATCTGCGCATATTCAATATGTGCCTACTGTTTGCAAAATAATTACGTTCTCCTGGACATTTATCTTTGTTCATATACGTTATTTATATTATTTTATTACCTGATGACATCGCGATATTAATATATTATCGATGTACATATTTAAAATTAAATGAGCAAATTAACATGGCAGTGATATAAAATATGCTTGCATGAATATGATATAATTTTGTTCGATTCGAAGTAGATTTATTTTGATAATAAAAAAAATCAAAAGATTGCCCCGGGTGAGGATCGAACTCACGACCTTAAGATTATGAGACTTACGCGCTGCCTGCTGCGCCACCGAGGCTTGAAATTCAGGCAACCAATTTAATTTTGGGAATTACAAATGGCTACTATCCATGTTCTGATAATTAGTGTTATAATTGAAATACAATTAAATCAAGCCATTGATCCAAACATTTTACGCCCTTTGGTCAACATCAGACTGACGGCCATCACGGAGAGTAGAAAAAACACCAAGCCAAGGAACGACGTCAATAATCGGCAACGACACCGCCATTTTTTATCTTCCTTCATTCGTTTTGACAGCATCTCTGACCGAGGAACGTCCAGCGTGAAATCAGCTTCCGGCCGTCCACCAGGCTAAAAAATACAAACAATTATAATATCATCATTTTCTACACCATCAAAATAGTTAATACTTGTAAAGAATAGACGAGCATTTAATAAATAAAACGCATCATGCACGAGTGCACCTCAACAAAACGATATTAAGTAATCAACGTTAAAAGCCATGACAACTGGTTGAATCAACGAGTTAAGCTTAGACTAGCAGTAGAAATGTCATGATTTTAGCACACGTAAAACAAACGTAAAGATCTTTTCCGTTGTTAAATGTTTGTATGGCTTTGCGTGCGGATATACCACCAGCGAGAACAAAAGGAATAAATCTTAGTGTCGTTGCAAGATCATGACAAGCATGACAAAATCATGTTTACGGTTATAAGATTGCGGAACGTACAACAGAGTAAACGCCATTTCAGGAGATTTAATTAAGAAATAATCTTGATATGAAAATTGCAATACATAGTTTGTAAAAACAATTAATATATAAGTTGTTTTAGTAAAGTACGATATAAACAGATTGAAAAAGGATTGCCCCGGGTGAGGCTTGAACTCACGACCTTAAGATTATGAGACTTACGCGCTGCCAACTGCGCCACCGAGGCTTGCTGAAACCGGAAACTACCAAAATTTGCCACAAAAATGGCTAATAATATATAATTTTAACAAAAGTGCCCCGGGTGAGGATCGAACTCACGACCTTAAGATTATGAGACTTACGCGCTGCCTACTGCGCCACCGAGGCTTGAAATTATTGTAAAATAATTAAATTCTCCATAAAAATATCTCGAAAAACTAAAAATATATGTTTAATCAATAATAAAGATAAAAAGATGCCCCGGGTGAGGCTTGAACTCACGACCTTAAGATTATGATTTTGATTTGATTAACAAACTCTTTATTTACATAACAAATCAAATACATAAAAATATATATATACATATTGCAATATGGTATATAAACTTATGGCTACAGTTTTATGCTTATTTCCTACTAACCTTTACATAAACAGATATTCATTATTTTTATTATATGGATCCAGTCTTAATGTATTACAAATTTGTACATACTATCTTCTCAGGTACTTATTTACATTTTTATCGTTAGAATAGGAAAATGAGCTGGGAAAAACCTATTTGGTTCCAGTGGGGTTTTATATTTACCATGGGTTTGGGAAGATTGGTAATTGTTCATATGGCAACTTGTACTTGCTAGGAGTTCGATGCCTGGTTATGTTTCGGATTAGGGTGTTGGAATGTTGGGTCGTTCGATGGTAAAATTTATTGCCGTTTTCGTAGATTCGTTCCAATAGAGGCAGAGTGTTACTTTGCCGCCGAATTGTTGCATTTTTGGTGTATCGGTTCGCATTTGTTGCGAGTCTTAAGCATTTGTTTTCAAATTGCTGTAGTCTTTTGTGGTATGTTCGGGCTATCAGCAATGCCCACGCTGGGGCAGCGTACTCTAAGAGCGGTCTTAGGGTGGTTTTGTATAGCAGAAGTTTGTTTTTGGGGATATATTAAATGCACTTTAGTTTAAATACAACCCGCTTGAACGGCAGCACTTTAGTTTTCATACTTTGCACTAAGAAATTCATACTATGCACTATAGATTGTATAACTTATATTTTAATACAATGAACTTATATATTCAGGTTTAAGCTTAAATTTGCTTTGAATCAACTTTTTAAATTGAAACTTTATAATTTTGTTACACAAATCTTATGGTAATGTAATGTAAGGGGTGTTACGAGGTTACGACAAAGTTAAATTTAAAAATAGGTGTATTGTATATTGCATATAAAAAATATCGTAAAATACAATGTAAAAAATATAAAAATATAAAACTCTTGGAAATATGAAAAAACCTAAAAACAAATATTAAAAAATTCTAAATAGGAACTATTATAATTATTTCACTGAATGAGTAGGATGAGGAGGATAAACGTGCCACGAACCACGTGCATCGCAGATGTGAAAAAAATGAAGCGCAATAAACAATATCCCAAAAAAGCTATTTTACAACCTGAATGAATTGAACTATATTACTATATTATAAGTTAAGGGTGTTGGGGCTAGATCCATTTCTCCATGCGCAGGCGCACGTTCAAAGTTTGGAGCATGATCGTGCTTCTCCGCGTGCACACGACTGAACGAAACTATATAGCATACAGGGCAAGTCGCATGATTTGTAATAAGAAAAATTCAGCAATGCAAAGTTTGGAAGCTTAGTTATTTGATTAGTGGGTTGGTGCGAGGGGGTGGTCGGGGGGTTTGGGGTGGGGGGTGGTGGTTAGGTAGGCTACCTTGTCTGGTAATATTTGTGGGGCACACGTAAAACACTACCGTAACATCCTGTATATAACCTTGAAAAAAGTTATGCGCTGGTTGCATACTTTGCAAGTTTTATAAGTGCGAAGTATTAATTTCATAGTGGAAAGCATTTTATTCAAGTGGAATCCATTTTTCAAAGTGCAAATATTTATTTTTAAGTTCAGTTCTGCATTTTTAAGTGCAAACATTTATTATAAGTGCATTTAATGTATTTACAAGTTAAATATCGAAAAAATAAAGTTCGTTTAATTACATGCCTTTGTTTTTTATACTCAATACACTATTTCTGTGCATTAGAGAGTACAATTGCATTAAGGCTGCATTTGCTTTTATGAGGATGCTGTCAACATGTTTTTTGAAAGTAAGCTTGCGATCTATTGTTAATCCTAAATATTTTACTTCTGATTTTTCTGGTACTGTTTGTTTGTTTAGCTCAACTGTTTTATTTTTATGTTGTAGTTTTCTTCTTTTTGTTGCTGTCAAAAGTTCGGATTTATTAGCATTGACATTTATCTTCCACTTCTTGTAAAATTTCTCAACGGCTCTTAGATGATTTTGCAATTTCATACGCCCAATTTTTTCATCATTTGATGTACTATAGATTATTGTATCATCCGCGAATAATGCAAGTTTGGTGATGTTAGTTTTTGGCAGATCGTTAATGTATAGGCAGAATAGTATTGGCCCAAGGATAGATCCTTGGGGGACACCTGCATTAATGATCTTCGTTGCTGACTTATGATTTTGTACTTTTACATATAGATTTCGGTCTGTGAGATAACTGTGTAAAAGGAAGATTAACTCGCTTGGCAGTTTCATTTTTATCATTTTAAAAATCAACCCTTGGATCCATACAGTGTCAAACGCTTTTTCGATATCTAAAAGGGCCATGTGAACAATTTCATTTTTGTTCCACGCAAGTTTCACGTCAGTGAGAACCGTTGCTAGCTGGTGTGTGGTAGAGTGTCCTTTTCTAAAACCAAATTGCTCTGGCTGTATTAGTTTGCGATTGGATATTTCTTTATCCAATTTTAATAAAATTGCATGCTCGGTAAGTTTTCCTAATGTGTTAAGTAAACTTATCGGCCGATAGCTGCCAGGATCTTGTTGTGGCTTTTTGGTTTTAGAAATGGAATTACCTCTGCTAGTTTCCACAGTGTGGGGAAATGCCCTAATCTGAGAGTAGCATTGATTATCGTAGTGAGATGAACTATGGTTTTCTTTGGGAGATTTTTAATAATTATATTTTGTATGCCATCTGGACCCGGTGCTTTTGTCGCTGGCAGCTTCTTAATAATTTTCTTTAGTTCGCGTGGTTTTACAAAAGTGGTTAGGAATCTCGGTTGGCCCTTGGAAGCAATAAAATTATCTACTTCTTCAGCAATTTTTTCCTGTTCGGTAGTCATTTGATAGTCGCTAGTGCATATTGATGCAAATTTATTAGCTAATACATTGGCTTTTCCGATGTTGTCAAACGCGTATTCGTCCGGCGAGGTTTTTAAGGGTGATACTATATTATTAGTGTGTTTCATGGATGCCAATATTTTCCAGATAGAATTATTTTTAGGAGTGAGTAATTTCAGTCGTTTCGACCATTCGTTGTTCTTATGTTCACGGATATCGTTTTTAATTTCGATAGACATATTTAAGTATTTACGCAGAAAATTTGAGTTGCGAGTGCGTTGGTACCTCCGCCGAATTGCATTTCTGCGCTTTATTGTTATGAGCGTTTGCACCGGAATCTCACAATGGGGACGTTTGCAAAATCGCTTTTGTTTAATGCATGCATTCATTGCCGCGATAATGTTATCGGTTAATGATTGTCCTGCAGTATCTAGGTCGGCTGGGGTATTAATGTTCTTCGGTATTTCCGAATTTTCAACAATTTTTCTCCGAAATAGATCCCAGTCGGCGTTGTGATAATCCCATTTATAACTAACATCGCATTCCTGCGCAAAGTGATGGTTAATTCAAATGGAACATTCATTTCATTTCATTTTCTTAGGGATGGGTTCGGTGTCTTCTATTGCTTGTTTGGCAATGTTTAACAGTTTTTCACTAATTTGCGCCATTTGGCCACCATTTGATTTAAAATTACTTGTACCCAACGGGGTTGGGCACGTTTCGGTTGCGGTATGTTTAAATTTTATTTTGTAAGATTTCGCTGTTGTTTCACTGTCGCAAAATTTTTAAAGTTCACCACAAGGGCAGTTGCTGCGCGCTCAGCTATTGCTCAGACACGTCCGTCACCCACGATGGTTGAGACGGAACTCCTTAAGATTATGAGACTTACGCGCTGCCAACTGCGCCACCGAAGCTTGCTGAAACCGGAAACTACCAAAATTTGCCACAAAAAAGGCTAAAAATATATAATTTTAACAAAAAGTGCCCCGGGTGAGGATCGAACTCACGACCTTAAGATTATGAGACTTACGCGCTGCCTACTGCGCCACCGAGGCTTGAAATTATTGCAAAATAATTAAATTCTCCATAAAAATATCTCGAAAAACTAAAAATATATGTTTAATCAATAATAGAGATAAAAAGATGCCCCGGGTGAGGCTTGAACTCACGACCTTAAGATTATGAGACTTACGCGCTGCCAACTGCGCCACCGAGGCCTGATAAAACCGGAAACTATTAAAATTGGTCACAGAAAATGACTTGCAATGTAAAATTTTAACAAAA